ACCAGTGATTATTTCTTTGATTTACTAGAAAAATACTTGAATCATTTCTACACCAAGGTACAGGAAAACTGATTATGAAACACTCAACTGTTATGTTATTAGCATTAGTGTATATTCAGTGGGGACTGAGGTATGCAGTAGGTGTATGAAGGGACGGAAGCATGTGAGGCGGGGCCTTTGCCATGTGAATACACCTGTATCAACATACTAAATTGTTTGCTAAATTAGTGTCTCAAAACTTACTAATTTCATCATATGATCAGAGTACAATGAATTCAGCTAAAGAGCAAACAAATCTCTGCCTATTAAGACAAAATATGTAATCATTGCAATAGTCCAAGGAAACACTGAAAACCAGGACACATTCATAAAAAGTAAAGGCCTTAAACACAAGTATATTGATTAAATAAACTTTTACTTATATCACCTTGAGATTTCTAAGAATGTACAAAGTCAAGGAGTTCCTAGCTGTTATTCTAAGCAAGGCAGGCAGAAGAATGAAGGGGAATTTCAAGGGTACGTTACCTATGTCTTCAACCCAGCCCTGGAGATCAGAGGTAAACACTGCCCATCTTATTGGTAAGATAAAATGGGAGTCCAATGGACAAATTTCTACAAGTCTACAACCATCCAAAGCTAGGTAAAGGAGAAATAGAAGAAGAAAACAGGCCAATTACAAGCAAGAAAATTGAAGAAGTAATCAAAACCTTTCTCAAAAATAAAAGCCCAGGTCCAGATGGATTTACAAATGAATTTTACTGAACTTTCATAAAAGAACTAGTGCCTATTCTACACGGACTCATCAAAAAAATCGAAAAAGGAAAACTACCACATACTTTCTATGAAGCCAACATCACACTAATATCAAAACCTAACTAAGAAAACACAAAAAACTTTAGGCCAATCGCCCTAATGAACACTGATGCAAAAATCCTCAACAAAATCTTAGCTAACAGAATCCAACAATGCATTAAAAGAATAATACACCACGACCAAGTGGGCTTTATCCCAGGAGCACAAGGATGGTTCAACATCAGAAAACCAATTAATGTAATCTATCACATCAACCGACAGAAAAATAAAACCACATAATCATATCAATAGATGTGGAGAAGGCATTCGACAAAGTTCAACACCCATTTATGTTTAAGGCCCTTGAAATTCTCGGCACAGAAGAAACATACCTCAACAAAATAAAAGCCCTATATGGCAAACTCACAGCCAATGTTATCCTCAATGGAGAAAAGCTAAAAGCCTTTCCTTTGAGATCAGGAACAAGACAAGACAAGGGTGTACACTTTCACCACTGCTCTTCAACATAACCCTGGAAGTTCTAGCCAGAGCAATAAGACAGGAAAAAGACATACAAGGAATTCAAATAGGGAAAGAAGAAGTAAAACCGTCCTTAAATTTGCAGATTATGGCCCTCCCTGGTGGCGCAGTGGGTTAATGCACTGCACTAAGAAGCTTAAGCCAACTCTGCATGAGTTTGATCCCCGCCTGCCCCGGAGGAGATCCACATGGCGTGGCAGACCCCTCCTGACCCGCCCGCTGCTCCCCTCAGCAGTGTACTTCATCGATCTGCCTGTTCTGCTCCCCACTCTGTCCCTGGTGAATCCTCTCACCCTCTGCATCTCTGGCCTGTACCCCAGTTCTGTATGAATAAATAAATAAATCTTTAAAAAAAATTGCAGATTATATGTTAATTTACAAAGAAAACCCTAAAAAGTGCACAGAGAAACTAATCAAAACCATCAACCAATTTAGCAAGGTAGCAGGATATAAAATCAATAAACAAAAGTCCTATACACAAGCAATCAATGAGAAGCAGAAATTTTTTAAAAATCCTCTTTTCAATTAAAACAAAAAGAATCAAATACCTGGGAATCAATCTAACAAAAGAGGTAAAAGACTTATACAAAGAAAATTACAAAACACTGTTAAAAGAAATACAAGAAGACACCATGAAATGGAAAGACATCCCCTGCTCATGGATTGGGAGAATTAATATCATCAAAATGGCCATCCTACCAAAAGTGATATACAGATTTAACACCATCCCAATAAAATTCTCAATGACATTCTTTAAAGACATAGAAAATATATTGATGAGATTCAAAAAACCTCAAATAGCCAAAACTCTCATGACTAAGAAAGATAATGGAGGAATTACAATCCCAAACTTCAAGCTATACTACAAAGCCATAATAATCAAAACTGCATGGTACTGAAACAAGAACAGACATACAGACCAGTGGATTTGGATAGAAAACCCAGATATAAACCCACAGGTTTATGAGCAGCTAATCTTTGACAAAGGAGCAAGGAAGATAAAATGGAACAAAGAAAGTTTGTTCAGCAAATGGTGATAAGAAAAATGGGAAGCTACATGCAAAAATAAGAAAGAAAGAAAGAAACTAGATCACTACCTTGCATCATACACAAAAAAACAACTCGAAGTGGATTAAAAACCTAGACTTAAGAATGGAAACCATAAAAATACCTGGAAGCAAAGATGAGCCAAATACTATACGACATACACTTCAGTGACATCTTTGAAGATACAGCACCCAATGCAATGATAGTGAAAGCAAGGATAAGTAGATGGGACTACATCAAGTTAAAGAGCTTCTGTACAGCAAAAGAGACATTACAAAAAACAAACAGACATCCCACTGATTGGAAAAAATTTTCTCACACAAAACTAGCAATAAAGGATTGAACACAAAGATATACAAAGAACTGATTAAACTCAACAAAAATAAACAACCCATCAAAAAATGGGCAGAAGAGGTAAAAAGACACATCTTAAAACAACTAGCAACAATAAATGTTGGTGAGGATGTGGAGGAAAAGAACTCTCCTGCATTGCTGGTGGGAATGCAAACGAGTACAACCACTATGGAAAACTGTTTGGGTGTTCCTCAAACTGCTAAAAATGGAGCTTCCATAAGACCCAGCAATCCCACTCCTAGGTATCTACCCAAAAGACACAAAACCTCTGATTCAAAAAGACACTTGCCCCGTCCCCCATGTTTATTGCTGCTTTATTTACAATTGGAGAGAAATGGAAACAACCCAAATGTCCAAAAATGGATGACTGGGTCAAAAAGATGTGGTACATATACACAATGGAATATTACTCAGCAACCAAAAAAAATAAACACATGCCTTTTGCAGCAACATGGCTTAGTGAAATAAGCCAGAAAGAAAAGGAAAAATATTGATGATTTCACTCATAGCAGGAGTCTAAACGACCAGGCGAGAAAATAATAAGGAACAGCTATATACCAGAGACATTTATGGGGGTGGAGTGGGGAACGGGATCAAAAGCAGTGTGGGAAGGGAAGTGCACTGGACTATGGTAATGGCACCTGGGTGATTTCATGATGGGAAGCCCAACGGGATTACAACTGAGATGGAAAATGCACAAAATATAAAAATAAACTTATTTTTTTTAAATGGGGGTCCAAAATCCAGAAGACCAAAATATTAATACTGAACAGAGAAATATGTCAAGAACAAATAATCTTTCTCTTCTTATACGTGGCTGTGCATGCTTTATGCAGACAGAGATATATATAAAAAGCAGAACCTTCAGCATTGCTGAGGTTCTGGCCAACTCTGCCTCTTTAAAAACCTGCCAGGTTTTGTAATTCTGAAGACATGAAGACTGCTATTTGAATGCACCCTGGGGTCCAGAGCACACTAGGTGTCACCCTGTGCTGCTTGGTTGCTCAGGAGAGCTGAGCCAAGTTTCTCTAAAGAGCCCCATTACATTTGAGCACAGAGTGCCTGCCAGGTGCCAGAAGCTGGCGCAGCTCTGGGAAGCACTCAGGCTACACATCACCACAGGGCTAGGCTGCTCCTTCTCTACAAATTAGCAGGAATACACAATGGCATTACCATTGACTCCATTTCTCAAAAACTAACTAGCATTCAGAGGGGTTAAGGCTGCCCACAACATCCTTCCAAAGCTGATTATGTTGCCCATGTCCATTTAAAAGGAATATTGATACAAAATAAATACGACAGTGAAAAAATTCACCCTTTCCAGAAAACTGTGAGGTTGAAAGTGAAATCTTCATATATATTTTTTGTACCCAGACTTCACTGTTCTTGGCAAAACACTAAAATGAAGCTATATTTATCCTGGAGCTACAGGGACACTTGCAGGTAACTCCCTGGCTACTAACAGGCTGAGAGAGAGAGAAAACAGAAGCAGTTTAAATCTGAAAGCTTCTGCTTACTTCCTGAGGCAGAAATGTGAAATTACAAATACCTCTAGTGAGTAAAAATAAATGAGACATCAAACATGTTAATAGTATATGTAGTAAATGTGGTGAAACTAAATGTCCAACTAGAACCCAAAAAAAGATTATCTAATGACTCAAGAAAAGGTTAAAATAAAAATACTGGGCCCTCCCTGGTGGTGCAGCGGGTTGGAGCACTGCACTAAGAGGCTTAAGCCACTTCCACCGCATGAGTTCGATCCCCACCTGCCCCGGAGGAGATCCACATGGCAGGGCAGACCTCTCCTGGCCCACCCGCTGCTCCCCTCAGCAGTGTGCTTTGATCATCTGCCTGTTCTGCTCCCCACTTTGTCTCTAGTGAATCCTCTCACCCTCGGCATCTCTGGCTTGTACTCCAATTCTGTATGAATAAATAAATCTTTAAAAAGTAAAAATAAATAAATAAAAATACTAGTTACATGGACACTGGATTAACATATAAAAGTGAGCTCATGTGGAAAGTTCCCTTTCAATAGACATGAAAGTCCAGACTGCAGTCTCTAGAAACAGTTGTAAATGAAAATGGCAAAGGCCTCAGTTCTGGCCTCTGATCTACCACTGAAAGGCTGAGATTGAGTGAAGTCATTTAACCTCTCTCCTTCCAGAGAGGCTGGACTGGATGGTACCCATTATCATGTGACCTATCACCCTTTCCAGCTTTGAAATTATAGGACTCTATGAAGTGAAAATGCAAAGATACAGTATTACCATGTTATTGCAATCAGATGGGTCATAAGTACTCTGTTTAAAAACCTGACAGAGTTCCATAAATTCTTCACACATCTCATGGATTTGTTCATTTAAAATTGCTCCCTTGGTACCGCCAAATTCAAGTCTTTCCAGCTTTTCAAATTCCAGTATGGTGACAAATATATCCTTTGTAAAAACATAGTGCAGTAAATCTCTTCCACCATTTTGAACAGCAAAGTAACATTGTAAAGTTTCAGATAGAACATTTTTTAAACATTCAATACTGGAGAGTCAATGGACACTTAAATGACAGAAAATAAGTATTAATGACTTGAACAAATTTAACAAGGATGTAAAACAATGGCACATCATTAAGAAAAGATCCAAATAACTACTAATTTTGATATTCACCCTTCCATTTTCACATTTGCTGATAATTACCTAGCAGTACAATCATCACCTAACTTACCATAGCCAAACATGATTCCCTAATTTTATTTCCTTCTAATCATAAGTCAGATCGCCAGGTAATATCTGAAACTCATTTTCAGCTGCCCACACTTTGCAGTCAATCAGTTCCCTTATTGGAAGGGAGCTTAGGAAACTGTTAGCAAAGGGTAATGTAAATTATCTGTAATTATTCATTTATTATTCAGACTTGAAAAAGGCATCCAGGCTGAATTAAGTGATGAAAAATTTTAAAATAGAGGACTCTAATTGTGAGCATAAATCAACAAATTGCATAACATTTCAAGGTTAAGACAAAGACTTATAATATTTTACAAAGAATATAAGGCACAGTGGATAAACTATAAGTCAATAAAGCGAATACCTCTATTTTCATGAAACGGTCAAGAAATGTGTCAAATCTATGAAAAACCAGATGAGACTGGAATTCCCATGGTTTCAACTCCTTATTTCCAATAGAACAACTTGGCAAACCTTTTCTGTAGTTGAAAAAAGAATTTTTGAAAGTCTTTAAGATGTTAATGGCCACCTGCACCTTTTCCAGGGAGTCTTCAATTTCTCCTTTCAAAAGGTCTTCAGGAGAAAGGTAAATGATTGCCTGGGATTTAATGAAGGGAAATAATAATCAAAAATATGTTTAATGGTTTTTAACTAAAAACATGTTTAAAAAATATTTTATTGTTTATTCAATCAATAATAAATAATAAAAATTATTCAATCAATATTTTTAAATGACAATATGTAGAATTGAGCAAGAAATGCTGTAAAACAGCACAAATTCCAGAGACTCAGGCATTTAGTTTCAATAGCATATACATATAATCTACAGGAAGATGACTGGATTAAAAAGATGTGATACATATACACAATGGAATATTACTCAGCAACCAAAAAAGATAAACTCATGCCTTTTGCAGCAACACAGAGCTAAAGGGATCATGCGTAGTGAAATAAGCCAGAAAAAGAAAAATACCAAATGGTTTCACTCATAGCAGGAGCATAAAAGACCAGAGGGGAAAAAAATAATAATGAACAACTATATACCAGAGACATTTTATGGGGAATGGGATCAAAAATGGGGGAGGGGGAAAGTGCATTGGACTGTAGTGATGGCACACAGGTGATTTGGTGATGGGAAGCCCAGGGGGATTACAACTGAAATGGAAAAGGCACAAACTGATATAAAAACAATTTTATATAAACACACAAGTGAACACATATGTTTCTAAACACACAAGGAGTTTCTGACAATGACTGAAATGCTTAGAAGGATCAGGAAGATAGTAAAAATGAATGAATCAGATAGTAACAGCGGCAAATGGTGGAGACTATGGTCGCCTGGACAGCATGTGGCACAACTAGACAAGCATTGAAAGGGGCAACTGGCCCTGCAAATGGGGGTGGTGGGGCCAGGGTACTGCCAGCTGAATTTTTTTTTCAAAAGTTTATTTTTACATCATTTTGTACATTTTTAATAAAGGTTGCAAAGCTGGAATTATATTAACAAGACCGCCTCAATTTAGGCATTCTTAGCAATTGTAAAGTTTAAAACACTATGCAAAACAACAGCCTACAGGCCAAGTGCTGCTGAGAGAAGGCCACTTTGTAACTTCAGATACATAACACAGCCAAGTACCTGAAAATTTTTGTAAAAATGGAGTTCCACAGATTCATGAAAGTACACACATGTTTATAAAAATCGCATAAGATTTGCACAAATCATGCAAGAGACTAAGCTAAACACATCCTGTATATCACTGTACACTAATAAGCCACAGCAGAAATTTAAAAGATGGTAATACTTGAAACTGGCAAGTCATAGTAAAATACTTCACAGCAATGCACATGATACCATCTATTAGAAATTATAAATATTAAATAGTGCTCATGAAAAGAACCTTTAAGCAACATTAGTGAGTTACAGTAAGCCAATTATCCAAGTTAAGGAAAAAGGTTGTTTTTTTTTTTTACCTAAAGTTTTCTGCATGTTGCTTATAATAGAGAAGGCTGTAAACAACCTAAATTTTCAAGAGTAATAATTGCTTTTTAAGAAGCTAGTGAAAAAAAATTATGTGTATGTAGAGAGAACTAGAGGGAAATAAGTCAGAAGGATAAAAATGCTGGATGATTTCACTCTTGTGGAATACAAAGGAACAAAACAAAGGAAATGACAAAAGTAAACCCCCCAAAAACCTCTAGAAATCTGACAAGAATTGAGGCTACTGGAGGGAGAGGCGAATGGGTGGGGACAATGGGCAGGGACACAAGGGCTTTGGATAAAGGATGATGGGTGCTGTGATGACGGGGTGGTCACAAACATCTGAGGAGGTGGAACTTATTCCCCTATCAAATGCAGTGTTGTAAACCAATGATACCTCAATAAAGATAATTATATGTATAATGAAAGGAGTAAATCTGTGTAAGCTCTGGGGGAAAGAAAAATAAATGAATTTGAGGGTGATAGTACTATTGTTATAAATTTTATACCATAAAAACATTTTACAGTTATCACTAGTATGCCATGTTATAATTAGAAATAAATTGTTATTTTAAAATATGAAGCACAGTAGAATGGGTAAGTCTATCACAATCTGGGTGACCTTGGAAAAGCTATTCATTTTCTCTAGATAAATGAATCTACTGATAGTACCCATGTTACAGTTTTCCTATGCATGACTACATTTGTGGGTTTTATAAAGAGTTTAGAGAAGTTCCTGGCAAATAACCGGCACTATACAATGTTTGTTTAAATATCAGCCAAAAAAAAAAAAACACTAGTGAAGAAGAGCACAGCTCTACAGAGAACCAACATACAGGTGTGAACGTTGTTTCAGTGCTGATTTATAATTGTTCACATGTTGGGGAAGATTTACTATAAGCCCACTACGAGAATGAAGGAAATCAGGTCAACTGAACCCTGGGATAGAAGCCAGGAAGAGTAACCAAGGAAGTAGGCAAACTCTGGCTATTGACACAGATTAGGGGCCAGGGTTAACAGGTTTACAGGCTTCTAGGTAACCAGGACTTCTGAAGAGCCATTTACAACAATGAGTGACTACTGGTGGGGCTTATAAAGTGGTTTTTGTTTGTTTTTCAGTAAAATAGTGGAGGTCCTTAAAATGAAATGAGCATCTGCCAAACAGGGTTGGGGAGAGCTTGTGGCCACAGACCCTGCAGCAGGGACCCCATACAGAGCTTTCACATGCCATTCAAGCCATTAGGACATAGCCCACGTGCTTAACAGAGCAGATCTGAGTTTGCAGAACAGAGCGACAGAAATAGAATGAAGCCAGAAGATGATACAATACAGCAAGCAGTCAACCTGTTAGATACTATCAATAGCTGCAACTAGCTGTAAGTTACCAGTTTGGAATTAACTTTTATTGAGCCTCAATTAAATACCAGTTTGGACAGTCCACTTAGGTTATCCCTTTTCATCCTCACAATTGTCTGTGGAATAGGTATGACTGTATTCAGATGTGAAAACTGAGGCTCAGAGAAGTAACTGAACTTCCCTTAAAAGGTTCAATTAGATTTGACTCCCAATTGTTCTAGTATAGAGTCCTTTCCACACACCACTCCACTTCAAGAGAAAAAAAAGTAGGAGCCCAGAAACTAAATTGCGAGCCTGTATTTATGCATTTCATCCTCAAATCTTGGGAAAATTGAGCAGAAAACCAGCTAAACTGGATTGGATGGTTCCCAGCCCAGCTATTTTATAATGTTGTTCTCTATATTGTTTTGAACAGCAAGTTCCTAGAGACTATGGCAATAAGAACTCCCAGCTGTTTGCCTTGACTATCAAAAGACTTTCAGGGCACAAAATCCCCTCTAATTTACAAAAGAAGGGAAACAGCTCTTATTCTCTGCCAAGAGATGACTCAGAAAGAAGGCAGGTGTCTGGACACCAGGACAAGAGCTCTCACAGGCCACCATGCTGGCAGCTTGATCTGGACACCTATCTCCAAAACTGTCAGAAAGTAATTTGTGGAAATAAAGCTACACAATCCACGGAATTCTGTAGTGGCAGTTCAATCAAACTAAAACACACCCCAGTGAGAACCATGGGATTATGTGCTCTTCAACTATCATTTAGCTCTCAAATTATATAATATTCTGATGTTATGGACACAGAACCAATGGAAGTTCACACAAATAGGATGAAAGCAGTGTCCAATTTTAACATTTTGTAAATTGGGAGAATCATAAACAAGAGATATTTATAAAGATCAACAATGAATCAGAATTTTTGCAAAAGTAATTCCACTATTTTTTGAGGATCATTTTTTTAGTCAGATTCTCTTAATTTACTTTGCTTTCCAAAAGCCTTCTCCACTTTGTTCCTGTGGAAACCACAGAGCAGGCTGCAAAAAAATATACACATTTCTGCCTTTAATTAGATGTGTTAAACCGCTCTGAAGAAAGTTTTGATATTAAACAAATTCCAATAACCACCTCTCCCTTGAATATATCTGGCTTATTTCCAGACCTCCTTTGCCATTTAAGATAAAAAGTCACCTCACATTGTTACCACAAAAGTTCTTTCTGAGGGAAGAAAAAAGAGAAAGGGTGTTCTAGCTACATAATGGGTTTATTTTTCATTGATCAACCTTCTGTAATGATTTATATTCTTACTAGTTTTTAAATGCTACATACCTGGCCAATGAAGAGATTACAAAACTCCTGCAATAAAACTATAACCCGAGCGGGAGTATTATAAAACTTGGAATGACTCCAGATCAGAAAGATAGTATGAAGTAATGGAACGATTAATATACGCGTCTGTGGGAATTCCATCTCCTGGAGACACTGAATGTGTTTCCTCAGTGGACTTAAATAAAGTTCCACATCTTGGGCTTCAAGGAAAGCTGAAAGAAACAAAAACACCATGAAAGCCATGGGGTCTTTCTTCTAAATTCACTTTACAAGTTCAAAAGAACACTGCAAAGCACCGTGGCCCCTCTCACATGCTGTCCTATTTCTTTTTTTTATATCACTTCTACCATTGACACATTATTGACTTGGAAGTATTTCTAACACCATTGAGGAGAGCCATGCTGTAGTCACTCAGTCAGTAGAAGTAGACCAGACAAACGACTGGGTGAAGAAATACTTAGAGGCTAAAGAAGTTTAGTCAACCCCAGGGAAACTGAGTAAAACAATTCTGCAAAGCTGTCACTATATGGTTAGCACCATAAATTTCATCACTGGGATGTTAATTCTTCTCTAGTCCCTACTACCAGCACAATTTAATCTTTTGTCTCATTTCAGTGTCCTATGAGAGTAATTCATGCAATGACTGGGGAATTCCTACCAAATGTAACAATTAAAATTATTAAGCCTGGGAAATGAAACTATGTGAGTGAAGGTTTTGACAGTGAACTAAATGCCCTTCCCCCATTCAACAGACGGATGAAATATTGCACTTGATGTCCGCTAATGACATCATCTTGTTCCTGTGTACTTATTCTCCAGGTTTATAAAACTCTTGTAGGACCTATAGTAGTTAGCGAACAAAGTGCCCCCAAATCGAAGTTTTAACAAGAATGTGTGTGTGGAGAGGGAAAGCAGCAGATGTTAAGTAAAGCTCAGCATAGTTTTCTAATCGGAAGTTGGCCTAGATGAGCCCAGTCATTCTCCAGCAGAAACCTGAATGTGCTCCATATCCACCACTGAGCTCCTAAGTACTTGGCTATCACTGATGTTTCGGTAAAGACAGGACCAGATCATGAGGGACATAGAAACCAAGTCAAGGTATAATAGTCTTACCATTTTCCACAGCCATGAAAATGTTCTTTAAAGTTGGAAAATAGCTGCTCTGTTTAGTTTTCAAGAGCTTAACCATTTTGAGGACAATAGGAGTCTGAAGCTAATTGAAAAATCAAAATAAAATATAAGCTAGATTAATTGCTATATAAATGTATACTGTAATATTTAAATTACATTCCATTCACATATAATACACAAAATATTAAACACTCAAAGACAAAGCATTTTTCTCTTAAGCATTTTATTTTGTATTAAGTTTATTTTTTTAACGATTTATTTATTTGTGCATACAGAACTGGGGTACAGGCCAGAGCCTCAGGGGCGGCTAGAGGCTTCACGAGAGACAGAGCGGGGAACAGAACAGGCAGATCGACGAAGTACACTGCTGAGGGGAGCAGCGGGCGGGTCAGGAGAGGTCTGCCACGCCATGTGGTCACCTCTGGGGCAGGCGGGAATCGAACTCATGTGGAAGGGGCTTTAGATTCTCAGTGCTGTGCTTTAAGCCGCTGCGCCACCTGGGAGGGCCCTGTATTAAGTTTTCTTAATCTGAATTTTTAAAAAGTAAATTTCCTATATTACTATGTATGAAAATATTTAAACTTTCAATAAAAAATTTCTTATATTGGGTCCTCCCTGGGAGGGCCCTGTATTAAGTTTTCTTAATCTGAATTTTTAAAAAGTAAATTTCCTATATTACTATGTATGAAAATATTTAAACTTTCAATAAAAAATTTCTTATGTTGGGTCCTCCCTGGTGGCGCAGTGGCTTAAAGCACAGCACTGAGAATCTAAAGCCCCTTCCGCATGAGTTCGATTCCCGCCTGCCCCGGAGGTGACCACATGGCGTGGCAGACCTCTCCTGACCCGCCCGCTGCTCCCCTCAGCAGTGTACTTCGTCGATCTGCCTGTTCTGTTCCCCGCTCTGTCTCTTGTGAAGCCTCTAGCCGCCCCTGAGGCTCTGGCCTGTACCCCAGTTCTGTATGCACAAATAAATCTTAAAAAAAAAAAAAATTCTTGCTGTTTCAGAATATCTCTAAGGGACATGTGAACAAGTGAATGAATATTTTAGTTTTTAGAACATTAATTTGAGTAACTTGTAGGGCCCTCCCTGATGGTGCAATGGGTTGAAGCACAGCACTATGAAGCTATTGTAGCAACTACAGTATTAAGTTCTATCCCTGGCCAGGGAAGTGACCCACATGGCAGGGAAAACCTCTCCTCACTCGCTCACTGTTCCCCTCAGCAGTGTATTTCAGTAAATCTGCCTGTTCTGCCCTCCAGTCTGTTTCTGGTAAATCCTCTCACTGCCCACCCTGCCCCCACACCTCTGGCCCATACCCCAGTTCTGTATGCATAAATAAAAATTTATTTTTTTAAATTGAGTAGCTTGTAAGGCAAATACCCAGCAAAGGAACTAAGGTCATAACTTCCATAGTGACATCTCTAAGATTCTACACCTTCTTAAATCAATTAAATTGGCTAGATTCACTCATCTTACACACATCAGCATTTCCCTGGGGAGTCACTTTTTCTATGCCGCAAAGGGTTTCCAATTCCCTGAAATGTTATCAAAATATTCTCCAAAAGGCATAATTATTTTCAAAACAATAGAGGAGACAAACAAGTAATCCAAAGATAGTATGTTAAACTTTTAAGGCTACTGGAAATCACTGCTCTGAAGACTGATTTCCACAATGGACTTTTCTAATCTAATTTACAAGCAATTTTTAGGGTTATCTACTTACCTGATCATAAATACATGATAGATTCTCTCTCCTCATTGTCCAGAAATCTAATTCAGTTTGAGGATTTGAGTGAAGACCATATAGTAAAGGTTGCACTGAATCTTTTTCTACAACTTCTTGGATTTGATGTGACCATTTAATAACCACTGACTCAATTTCATGGAGTATTGTCCTTTCATCCAGCTGGAGCCTATAAATATTGAAATGACTAGTAAGATAATTCAAGGGCAAACAATGAAATCTTGGACTTTAACAATTTTCTAAATAATCTTCTAAAATATTTAAAATTTTCTAAATTCTTTTCTAAATACAGATACTTCAAAATCAGATCCATTATTTTTATGACCTCAATTAGAATTAACATTGGTATTGCGTTGGTATGTTTCTAACATTAAAAAAAAAAAAAGCTAAGCATAAAATTACCATTCCTCAAAACCATTTCATCAAAATAATCAACATTGGTATAATAGCAACTCTTACAGCTCGCTTATACAGTCTGTTTATCAAAAGTATACTTTGAAAGAAAAATAGAGTTTTTCAGCTTAACACTAACAAATACAGTTATAAGTCTCTGCTAGCAGTTTGCTAGGGATAGAATATTAAATGTGTATTCTGGCTCTCCATTTTAAAATACAGTGCTGCATATACTATATCAGTACATACTTGGTCTCTGAACATTTCTGATCCAGGTCAATTTTTCCTGCAACAGTGGGAATTGGTAGAAGAGTTCTTCTCAACATTTTGCCCCTAAAAATATGCATTTTATTTTTCATAATTTCTACATGACGTTCCATATCTTGTGAAATAAAACAGGACCAGGATTTATGGTTGTTCTTATTAGAAAGAATTGGCACTAAAATCTAGGGAAGAGAAACATTAAAAAAAAATAATTAACAGAAAATGTGCTCCTTTAACAATATTTTTTGTCATACAAAATTGGCAATAAAACCACTCAATTTCATTAATATTCCCCTATGATATAAAATATACAGAGATGACCAAAATCAATGATCTATTTTGCCCTAACCAACCAAGTTTTTCAAAGTAGAAACACAATTTACTCAATATTCAAATATTTGTGGAGACTCCCAATATTTGTAGAGGTTCCCCATTATTCAAACACTGCACAATGTAAGAAAAATCATGTCAAGTAAGTAATCTACTTTTGAAGATGCAAAGTGAAAACACTGTTAGATATATTAATGAAAAAAATGTGTTTGAGTCACATAGAGGAAAGAGTAAATTGATCTCAAGTCCTGGGTGGAATCCCAGTGGGTTAAAGTTTGATAGAAAGATGTTTATTAAATCACATAGACCTCTTTTCCATTAATGGTTCAGGAATAGCAATAAAATTATATATGTGAAAACTCTCAAAAGTGATTTTTAAGCCAGATTCTAACACGTTAATAGGAGTTTGCTGAGCTAATGAAACTGATCTCTTCTTGCTTCACACCTCTTTCCATTATCTACTAATTTTAAGCATTTTTCATTTATGTTGTAGTCTATCTAATTTCATCAGCATTACACAAAAGTATAATTATGAAATTTTATACGAAGTATATATTATATACAATTACATAATTATATAACCACATAACAAACTTATAATTATACAATGTATATTAATTATAATTGTGAATTTATATGATTTCAATTAGCTAAAATGCTCAGAAAACTATTCTACCTTCTTAGTTTATTCTGACAATAGTCTCCACGTTAACTTAAAAAAATAACTGAAAATTCATTTTTATTTTCTAATAATGCTGAAACACATCTTTCCAAACTGTGTTAACGTCACAGTTTCCTGCTTAGCATCCACAATATGTCAAGCTGGGAATAGAGACATAAATAGTTTCTGCCTTCAGAGAGTTCAGTGGGTCAGGTCCCCCATGGTAAGAGCTGCCCCAAGTAGAGGCATATTTAGGAGGTAATATGGAAACACAGGAGAAACACCTGTCGCCATGAAGAAAAAATATGAGGGAAGACTTGCTAAGAAAGTTGCTATTGGCTTAAATTTTTAAGATGAAAGGCAGGGTAGAATATGGCACAGTGAAATGCTCTCAGTCTGGCCTACAGAACCAGCACCCAACAGGAATGGCTGTGAGAAAGGCAGAGCTTTGGAAATCAGACTGGAGAGTTTTGGCTTACTGGGTTGAACATTCATTGACCCATTGGAAACTATTTTCTAGATTAAATCCCCAATATCATCAGCTTTTTCTGTAAGTTGGTAACAGGAAATTTTTGGTTTTCCACCATTACTGATTTAACTGGGTATTGATTCAAACAGGTAATATTTCAAACTCTTTACTTTCCTTTGAGGAAGTCAACTTTTAAAATTAAATGTAGTTAAAACTCACGGAAATTCTGAGCCACATGCTTCACAGAGCAGTTAGGCAAATAGCTTAACTATAGAAATAGAGCAGGGCATACTTCTTAATCATAATCTTACTATCAGAAAGTATACACAAAGAGGGCAACCCTAGTCATGCAAGGGGTAAAAACAAATCACGATGAAGCTATCCACAGCCACTGCAGCACAAGTTTGATCCCTGGCCAGGGAGCTGGCCCACATGGCATAGTAAATCTCTCCTGCTTGGAATTCATGAGGGAGAGAGGCTAGAGAGAGAAGTCTGGGAGGCTTCAGTACCTCAGTACAAATTACCAGTAATCAGGACACGCCCGAGTCAAACTCTGACTATAAGTGAGAGTGTTCAGATCATTTAAATGAGAAAAAAGCACTCTACAGTTCAAATCTTGGCTCATCCTTCCTTATCCTATCCCATATAAGAACCCAAACACTAGGAAACTCACTCAATAACTTTTAATTCAACGTCTACCCCCAGAAACACATTCTCTCCTTTACTCAATTGAGTCTACAATTCACCAATATTTGCATGAAATGGTTTTCTTCTTAATATATGTCTCCAAAAAGGGAGAGGTTGGTTAGCATGAACTGCAAGTCACTAAAGACCATTAATATTCAACTGGACTCTAAAACTTTAAAGTGTCCTGATCTAAACACACACATGAGCCCACAAAACTTATTTGGAAGATGGCTTTTTATTTTTATTTATTTATTTATTTTTTTTAAAGATATATTTATTTGTGCATACAGAACTCGCGTACAGGCCAGAGGCTCAGGGGCAGTGAGAGGCCTCACCAGAGACAGAGTGGGGAACAGAACAGGCAGATCAACGAAGCACACTGCTGAGGGGAGCAGTGGGTGGGTCAGGAGAGGTCTGCCACGCCATGTGGTCACCTCCAGGGTAGGCGGGGATCGAACTCATGAGGAAGTGGCTTTAGCTTCTTAGTGCTGTGCTTTAACCTGCTGCGCCACCAGGGAGGGCCTATTTTTATTTTTTAAAGATTTGTTTATTTGTGCATACAGAACTAGGGTACAGGCCAGAGGTGCAGGGGTGGTGAAAGGATTCACCAGAGACAGAATGGGGAGCAGACAGGCAGATCGTCAAAATACACTGCTGAGGGGAGCAGTGAGTGGGTCAGGAGAGGTCTGCCACGCCATGTGGTCACCTCCAGGGTAGGCGGGGATCGAACTCATGAGGAAGTGGCTTTAGCTTCTTAGTGCTGTGCTTTAACCTGCTGCACCACTAGGGAGGGCCAATGACTTTATTTTTTAATCAGCCCCATCAAGCATTATTTTTCACCATCCTGGCTCTTGTTCCCCAATCTAGCCACATTATTTATACTCTATTTTTAAAAAGCAAACCTGCATCAACCCAGGTGCCTGAAAGTAGATGACTGGATTAAAAAGATGTGGTACAGATACTCAATGGAATATTCCTCAGCAATCAAAAAAATAAACTCATGCCTTTTGCAGCAACTTGGATGGAGCTGAAAAGGATCATGCTTAGTGAAATAAGCCAGAAAGAAAAAGAAAATACCAGATGGTTTCACTCATAGCAGGAGTGTAAAGGACGGGGGTGGGGGGGGAGTAATAATAACGAACAACTATATACCAGAGACATTTTAAGGGAGTGGAGTGGGGAATGGGATCGAAAATGTGGGGGTGGGGGGTGGAGAAGTGCACTGGACTATGGTGATGGCACACGGGTGATTTAATGATGGGAAGCCCATGGGGATTACAACTGAGATGGGGAAAAAAAGCACAAAATGATGTAGAAAAACTATTATATATTAAAAAAAAAACTAAAACAAACCTGCACTTCATATTCTCTATGCCTTTGGAGTGCTTCCTCTCTGTTCAAAATGCCCTTCCTTCATCTTCTACCTCTAGTTAACTCCTGAGCTTTCAAAACTATTATGACAAAATAATTTCCCATACAACTCTGAATACTTCTGAAAGTAAAAGCAAGCATTAAAAATTACTCAGAGATGTTAATTGATCTTTAAAGGTGGAATTTCCTCCGGCAAACAGACTTGTGATCATCCGATTCCAGACTCCCCATCTTCCCTGCCAGCATCTAGATGTAAATGCTACTAAGCTCCCAGGCCTTGCTAAACCCTTAGGGTGGCCCTGTTACCATGTGGCATTAAAGATGGCTTAGCTGTTGGCTGCCCTAGTTAGACTGCATACTTTCTGAGGGTAGAAACTGCAACACAAATATGCATGTCTATTCAGTTACTAGAACCAAGAAGTATTTAATAAATATTAATTAAATAACAACTGGAGCTTACTAGCATGAAATTCAATTGTCCTTTCCAGGTAAATGTCAAAAAAATTTTTTCAAATGGAGGTGGCATAAATCATACACCACGGGCTTCTCCCTTAAAACAACATCTTGACACTTCAGTATTGCTTGTTTTGCAACCTATCAAAACAAGACACCAAATAGCCCTTCATTCTTTTCACAAGTATTTACTGCGCTCCTATGTTTCAGATAATGTTTTTGGTGTGTTTGAGACCTAAGGATTCAAAACTGCAGTAGTCAAAATGAATATTTTTAAACTCAAAATTATTGTGAAAAATTTTATGATAAACAAAATGTTTTTTCAATAGGCAAGATCAGTATCACTCTTTTCCTTTTTGCCTCAGGCTCCAGTACCACTGAGCATGGCACTCTTTGTAATTCTAGTTTTTACTTTAAGGTGTTTATTTTTTGTTAATTTTTGCTTTATTAAAATATCTTATTCCTGAATTTTCTTGGTCCCTTCATGTTCTACAGGGGGTGAGACTTGCCCTGCTCCAGTATTTATATTACAAAGATCCCTGCTCTCCAGAGAGCAGCATCACTGCAAAAGTTCAAAAAATTTTGAACAGGGCCCTCCCTGGTGGCGCAGCAGGTTAAAGCACAGCACTAAAAAGCTAAAGCCACTTCCACATGAGTTCGATTCCCACCTGCCCTGGAGGTGACCACATGGCGTGGCAGACCTCTCCTGACCCGCTCACTGCTCCCCTCAGCAGTGTACTTCCTCGATCTGCCTGTTCTGCTCCCCAATCTGTCTCTGGTGACTCCTCTCACCCTCTGCCTTTACCCTCTGGCCTTTACCCCAGTTCTATATGAATAAATAAATAAATCTTCAAAAAAAAATTTTTTTTAACAAAAAGATTTAAAAGATATGAAGGGATTGGCTGAGTAGATTCTGCAGAAGATGAAATAATAAGAATAAAGGCCCAGAGCAATCAGTGTGCTGAGGTGGATGAGAAAGGGCAAGGCAGCCACAAGTTGCCAAGTGAGAGAAGTTTAGAGACCACAGAGAGGTCAGATCACAGAGCTTTTGGTCCTGTACTTTCATCCTCTAACAAACTTTAAGAATCACCTACTTGCTGCTCCCAATTCAGTAGCTCTAAATCTGGGACAGGGCCTGAGAGGTCAGTTACAATTCACAAGGTGCTGCTAATACTGCTGATCACAGTGAGTTGAGTGGTTACAGCAAGTCTGTGCCCCTATAAGCACTTGGGACCCATTCAGAATAAAGGGAGAAACAGTAAGTGTGAGCATGAGTGACATGTTCTACTTGCTTCAAGATCACGCTAGCAGCTGTGCTGGGGATCTGTCATATACTGGAGCCACAATAGGAGGGAGTCCAACTCAGGCTAGTGCAGTAACATGGGGAAGAGGTGATGGTGAACTGGATCAGGCTGGTAGCTCAGGAGGGGTAAAGGGTCCTGTGTGGCAGCAACCACAGGGAGGTTCTCTATCAATTTGGGAAGACAGATGAAGGAGAGTCCTGAAGCCCTCCGTGGCTTTTGCGCTCTTTCCACGCCAATTGTTGTGGGGTGAGCCTGGAGGCTGGCAAGGCAGGGAGGCTAGGGGGCCAGGAGGCTGGCAGAACTCCCACCCCCAGCAAATTTTTACTCTTTGGGCTATCTCTGGCATCCTTGTGGCCTCTTCCTCTCACAGCTATTTTGCGTTTGCGTGAAGCTGCTCTTCCTTGCCTCTGCCTCCTGGCTCAGGTGTGCCCACTTACGCTTGCCCGCCTCCTCCAGGTGTCCACAGTCAGGCCCACTCACAAGCATCCTCTGTATTTAAGAGCACATGATAGCCACAGGCCAACGGCATTAAAGTCTGATCATCTTCATTTACCTTACAGGTACTGATTCTGAATGTATTTTGAAAGTAGAACTCCCAAGATTTCCTCACAAAATGATACGAAGTGTGAGACAGAAAAAGGAGTCAGGGCTGACTTACAGATTTTTCTGGCTTGAGCAAATGGAGGAGGGGGGTTACTTTCCCTGTGCTGTGGGTAACTGCATACAAGTAGTGCAGGGTGGGGAAGATTAGTTCCACTTTGTCATTAAGTTTGATATGTCTACCACAAGTCAAGTGCGGGTGTCAGGAAAGCAGATGGGTCTCTAAGTTTGGAATTCAAAACAGTTCTTACCTAGAGAGAAAAGTTTGGGAGTCCCTGGCATCTCATTAACCACTACTAATCTGCTAGTTACGTGGCTGTAGTGGATAGAAAGCAAAGACAAAGCTCGGAAACATAATCCAAAAATTCATGACCATGAACAAAGACTTATACTGAATTTTAACTCTTTACATTAATAAACCCAATACTGCTATCCTCTAGAATAATTCAATGAGAATTTTCTAAATCTTTAAGTGCCTGAGGATATTTTTGTCTTCTATAGACGGACTCATTGGTAGCTTACTTCCTCTCATTTATCCCTTTCCCAGAGTGGCACTGATAAAAAGTGAGGCTGGTCAGAGGAACTTGAACAAGTTTTAAAAATTGTGCTGCCAAACATAGTAAAGTAAGCATTCTAATAAAGAACAGATTTTTGATCTTCCAACCCCACTTGATAGCAGTCTGGACTTGAACAACCAAAAGTCATCTACATTTCATGTGAAACCTTTTAGCAAATTCAGTTCAACAAATACTTCTTGATTTACCTGCTATATACCAAAAATTGTCTCAGCTGCTAAAGATAGCAAACTCATCCTTGAGTCTTGCTGAAAACAGTCAAAAGAAAGTAGATTCGAGAGGGAGATCTGCCTGGTACTAAAGTTGGGGGGAGAGGACTTAAGTGAGCCCAAAGATAGCAAGAAAATCTCTCTTCAAATGAGCAAAAGAAACTCAAAGTAGAAGCGGTATGAAACAGATATTGGGAAATCACTACTAATAAATACAGTGGCAATTATTCCTACCTTATGTCTTGGCCTGCACGAGACATAAGTAGTGCACTGACTACTGCAACACATTACAATCACCTGGGTCTTTAGTATACACTGCAGCCTGGCTCCCTGTCCTGTCCTGGTTTATTGGTACCAGGTATGAACTGGAGAGTGGCAGACTAGAATGTTCTCCAGGCAACTCTAATGTTTGGCAAAATTTGTGAATCTCTGCTCTGAATCTAGGGAACCTGGTCATTTGATGCTGCTCCCTAAAGCTGGCCAATAAACAAAAGATTAGAAATGCAGAATCTTAGCCCACCTAAGACCTACTGAATCATCTTGCCTCAACAAAATCCCCAGGTGGGTAAATAAGCATTAAAGTGCCAGTAACGTGGTTCACATGCTTAAAGCAAACGTTTCTAACACTTGTTCCCATTATCTACCCCCTTGATCTTTGACGAGTGACACTTAGAAATTAATAGAACTCTGAAAATTTGATAATACCCTTTTTCTACAAGTTTGTCCTTACTTCAAATGTGAAATTTAAAACCTGTAGCTAATAAAAGTGATAGTCATGCTTTTAACTTATTCTCTTTTAGAAACAAGGAAAAAGATGCACCTACAAGTTGCCACCTGTTGAATATCAACGTCAGTATCAGCTCATTTCAGATACAGCCTAACTGTATCATTGGCCACTCACCTTGCTAAAAAAGTTCATTGGCTTCTACATATTTTCTTGTTTTTTAATAGGCAGAGTTGTCCTGAATAAACCCAAGTATCAAAGAGATAAATGGAATTTTCAAGTATTAAAGAGACTAGTACCTCATCTATGAAAGTAGTTATGTGTCCAAGAGAGGAAGCAGGTAGCTCTCCAAATAAAACCATTTGAGAGAAATCATTTACTTCCAGGATTTCAGGAGTCTTCTTGGTAACATAAAGAAGGTTATGTTTTGTATCTTTTGGAATCTGAAACAAGAGCAAGATAATTAGTTTAAATTCACAATGTAACTTCCATGTTAACAAGCCAGAATTGCTGTATCCAACTTGTGGATAGATTGTTCGAAGAAACAAAACCTGGCATCTTGCCTACCTTTACAAATAAGGTTGTTCCTCTGCTTTTCCCTAGTCTTCAAAGTGTACACAGTTTTCTTTGTTCTTTTATAATGCTAATTTCACAGCATTGTTCTAGTGGAAATATCTCCTTAAAAGCCATGTCAATTACACCAGATCATTATAAACCATAACATCTCAAAATTAAAAACAAATACAAGGAACATGATAGAATGTTTCCATCAGTGCAAAGTTTAGTTGGTTTTATTTTATATTCTTTTTGTTTGGAAATAAGCCAAAGTGAAATAAAGATCAGGCATGAGGAGTTACTTTTTATTTCTATTCAGGCAAAGGATATCTTTAACCAAAATGTTCTAACATTTCTACAACTCATTTTTTCAAATACAACTGTTTAACTTAGGAATTACTACAGTTAAGTAATATTAGAATTAAGTGTCTGATCACTTTGTCTGCTGACAATTAAAAAAAATCGTAAAGCAAATAACCTAGGAATTCTACTTCCAACTGAAGACCGCATCCAAAGATGATAATGCCACTTTGCAATATTAAACTGACGACCACACGGCTTAAAGTTTGCAAATCTTGCTTCAAACTCTTCACATTTGAAAACTGCAGTATACCAACGCTGTACGTGTAGCTGATTTCTCAAGGCGCGCATTCTAATTTTAAAAAGGTTGTTAAAATACCAAGTGAGCTTAGACAGTCCCGCAACTTCGTTTTAAAGGTCTCAGTATTTCCCCCGACAAGTGGTGTCATGGCCAGGCCGACAGACTAAATCCATGACAAATTTGGGGTCTGCCAAGCACCACCTTTTTAAAGAAAAGATGTGGCTCCGCAGTGGCCCACAAGCGACTGAAAAGTTGTGTGACCTAGAGAACCCACCTTGCGCCTAACGCCCAGGCAGTTGAACCCAGAGCTGTTCTTCCGGCTTTGTCTGGGTGAAGCAGCTCAGGGGCGGCCCCAGAAAACAAACCAGAGTCCTGGTTGCCAAGTGGGCGCACGTGGGGCCCCGTGGGCTACAGCGATGCGCCGCAGGCCAAGTTTTTAAAGGGCCTGAGTGGAGGACCTAGCGGAACCCAAGGAGGCGCCAGCCGCCCTTCCTGGCGCGGGAACCCGCCAAGAGGGCGGTGTGACCGATTCCCCTGGCCTCTTACCTCTCGGGAGACCGTGAGCCGCTTCGCGGCGACGACGCCGAACACAAGGAAGGTGGGGCTGGGGCTCTCCAGAAACTCCCCCAGGACCTGCCGGTTGTCTTCGCTCTCCAGGTGCTGGCTCCATTTCTCCTCCGGGAGCCCCAGCAGCTGCTCCAGGCGGCCTCCGAGGAAGCGCACCCGCGCGTCCAGGGCGAAACTCCGAGCCCTCCTGGCCGCCGCTGCCTCTTCGTCCTCTTCTTCCTCCTCCGGCCCCACCTCGCCCACCGACTCCGTGCCAGGGCCCGTGGTTAAGCACAGGGTCGGGACCTCGCGGAAACCTAGAGCCTCTCTGGCTGCCACACGGGATGCCATCGCACGGACGAGACGACGCGGGGGTCGGCGGCGACCCCCTTCGCCAAGTGCGCCTGCCAAGCGCTCACTCGCTCCCGGAATCGCCGCTCTTTGCAGCGCGTCTCCCCCAGCTGTTGCGGCTCCGTAGTCAGCGTCCGCGAGCACTGCGAGCCAGGTGCGCGCGGGGCTGCCGGGATGAACCGCGCGTCCGGTTTCCCGGGGGACGGCGGCCCCGCCCCGCCCGCTGGAGGCGGAGTGAGCCTCCGAGCCGCGAGGGCTTCGCGCTCTGGCCCCAAACCCGCCGAGAAGAGGCTTGCCCTAAGTCAACGGGTGCCGTGCTGTAGGTGGGCACCCACCAGGACCCCGGCTCCTTCACCTGCGGTAATTAATCTCAGAGAGGGAGAGTAACAGCCCAGAACTAAGTAACAGCTGTAGTTGAAGCAGTGCGGCCTAGTGCCAAAACCTGTGCTAAATTCTTCACCTTGATTATTGCATGTACTCCTAGAAAGCCAGGGCTTCGACTGGTCAGTTTATGGGCTCCCTGCTGAAAGCTGTGTTCAAATATTACCAGAAAAGAGCCAATCTATAATTCAATTCTCCTAGTTGTGCAAACCCAAGATCTGTATCCCAAGTCCTGAGTAGTAGTTGGAGTCTGCACCTGCCACTTCCTGGCATGTTAATACACCCAGTAAGAAAATGCACAGCCTTTTTGTAGATCCCACAATGTTCTAAAACTACGTGGAATTATCATTCGATCCAAGAGTAAAAGATCAAGAAAAGGGCACTAATGTGGGCTTTATGACTTTGACATGGGATTTTAGTAGGCCCCATTTTTGGCACTTGAGAGTATTAAGGAAATTCTGATTAGTAAGGTAGCTAAAATTTCGAAGGGCAGACTGGCCTTCAAACTAAAGTTATTAGTTGTTCCCTTCGTTAATTGTTCATTTCAAAATAAAACTTCATACTTCCACTTCTCCCTGAAGAGCTCTGAAACAACATTGTCTTCAATAATTCATATAGTGATTATTGATAAATAGATGTTCCAGCAAGACTGGGAGTTTTAAATTTTTTTTTCAGGATGTTGTCTCTGATCTTTGTGTATAAACTTTCTTAGTTACACGATCACCCTGAATCAAAACAGGCTCCTGAAAAGCCTTTATAACGACTAAGGACTGCCATGTCTGCTCTGGGGCTTTATGGGTCATATTAACTCTGTAGGTCACTGCACCCTATATATAGTACATTTTTTTTAAAAGATTTATTTATTTGTGCATACAGAACTGGGGTACAGGCCAGGGGCAGCAAGAGGCTTTACCAGAGACAGAGCAGGGAGCAGAACAGGCAGATCAACGAAGGACACTGCTAAGGGGAGCAGCGGGCGGGTCAGGAGAGGTCTGCCATGCCATGTGGTCACCTCCGGGGCAGGCGGGAATGGAACTCATGCGGAAGTGACTTTAGCTTCTAGTGCAGCGCTTTAACCCACTGCGCCACCAGGGAGGGTCCATATAGTACATTCTTAATCTCTCCTTCACCCTCTGTATTGCAACTTTGTGCTTCCCTACCTCAAAGTAAAAGAAACCTGTAAATAAAAATTTAAGTTGAAACTAGGGGAGGGGAAACCACTTTTTTAAATCAGCAGGAGAAAATTCAAATACTAATGCTACACTTTTCAGGAAGTTCCGTGTGTAACTCAAATGTGGAATGAAAATATGTCAGATTTTTTTCAACTCCCTAGTGAAAAAACCAACAACATGGTGAGTTCTAATTATCTAAAGAATTTGAGGAAGAGATACCTAGGTAGTAGAGAAAAAGTGTAGGGAAAATACTGAGTGGCTAATATACTCTTTTGAGCTTTTTTATTTTTTGGTGGGGAAAAGGGATGTGGTTAATTTATATTTCAAGGTTAATTTACATCTGTAAAGAAAAAAAATTCAGATAAAATATAACTTCACAGACTTTGGGCCTGTAATCAATAGTACATAGTGAGTCAGGAAAGGTACATTTTCCTAATCCCTATTAAGCAATTCTTTGGTGGGCCATTGTGATATTGAAAGGATATTCTACTTTCCCAATACTTTATTCTCATGTTTTGAGTAATTTTTCTTAATAATAATGAAATGGTGATAAAGGGCTCTTTCTTTTTGGAGGGGGGTTTCTAATCTTTTAGATGTATTTTTTTTATTTATATATTTTATTTTTTTTACTTTATATCACTGTTTATCATTTAACAGTGTCTGATTTCTTTCCTCAGGTGTAGTCCCCATAGGATCCCACCACCAGTTCACCCCTGCACCATCACCACAGTGCCCTGTGCTCTTTCTACCACGGCAGGATAAGTATTCTGATTATTACTTTATTTACCCTCTATGTTTAACAACCTTCTTTTGTTTAGATTTTTATATATTGAGAAAAGAACATCATTAGGAAGATAACATTCTGAATTGCTGACCGCCAGGTGATGGTGAAAACAAGCTGCTTCAACCCTTGCCCACTCCCCTATACCTCTGGATAAGTATACCTGCCGTCTGCCAAAGAGCAGGACAGTGGTCTTTCAAATGCCAGTCTGCTGCCCTCCTCAATTTGTTGACAAATTAAACTACTTTCCTTCTCTTCAAACTCAGTTTCTTTTATTGGCTAAGGGAAAGTGAGACCAGCATTTGATAACAATATTAACTAACATTTACCAAGTACCAACCAATCAAGAACCATGTACTATATACTGAGTCGCATTAATTTGTTCCACAAATATTTACTCAAAACCAGCTCAGTGCTGTGCTCTGTTCTAGGTGCTGGGAATATAACAGAAACTAACTAAGCTCCTGGTCTCATATTGCCAACATATGCTAGATTTATTATTGGCTTTCCACCACACTTCTGCCAGCGACTTACCTTCAAGGTGCTTTCATTTCCTCATCTGAAATAAAACGACAAAAGGGCAGGCAGCCTGTCTTTCAATACATATGACCCTCTCCCACCTTCATGATAAGAGCACACTTTTCTGTTCCCTTGAAGTTGTGCTTGGCCATGTAACTTCTTACTTTAATAGGGTGTCAGCAGACATGACACAGAGGCTTGAAATGTCTATGCATGTCAGGGTTTGCCCTCTTGGGCTTGTCATTGTGGTGAAAATAGCATCCCTACCTAGATCACTGGTGCAGGGAACCAATCTGGGGCATACCTGTAGCTCAAAGCAAGTTCAGTTAAACCTAGTTTAAATCAATCTATCTTTAGTCAACCCACAGGTGCAGGAACAAGTGAGAGTAAGCTATGGGTTCTAGAATATTCCAGTTAACGGTGAGAGTAAGTGGTCCCACAGGGAGGGTGCTTTGTCTTTGGAGAAACAGCAAGGCCAGTAAGGAAAAGAATAGTAAAAGATAGTGGCAAAGAAACATGGGACCAAAACCTGCAGAGATGTGGCAATAGCTAGGTTTTTCTTAAAACAAAACATATGGCACAAACTGCTGACTGACCCCTGTGTCCCACTCACCCTTCATTCCTCCAGATTATACTTACCTCCAATCCAAGTTTTAATAGGACTCTCAGTCACTCCACTGTAAGTTTCATTTCCTGGTTTCTCTTGTAAATAATGGAAATTGAAAGAATAAGACACAACTTGTGGGTCATATTCTTAAAAACAATCTACCAGTGTTCCTTTGCTTCTTGTCTCACTTGCTGGCTAGCATATGAACACATGTATGGTCAGTCATGCTAATGGCCCTTAAATGCATGAAAGATATTCAACCTCCCTCACGAAAGGCTAACATAAATCCAAACTATAGTACATTTTTTTTTTACTTACCAGCTTTATGATTGACATCATGTTTATGGTATGTTGGGGAAACAGACATTCATGTAAATAATTGCTGGGAATTCAAAATTATATGACCCAAAAGGAATTTATCAATTTCTAGAAAAATTGCCTATAGATTTGCCCTCTGACCAAGAAACTTCTTCTAGGAATCTATGGGATAGGCATTATAGCACTCATTGTAAGAGCTAAAAATTTCCACAAGTTGCTATCAACAGTGACATCTATTTAGACAATACAGAGAGTGTTGGGGCCACAAATAAAGAATTTGCTCTGATCACAGGCTCTTCTCCCTGGGTATCAAGAGTCTTACTTGAAAAGGTTTGAGAAAATCCTAAGAAAGTCTCCTTGGTGGGTTAGGCCTGGGGAAAGGGAACAAGGCCCCACTTTCATCCTTCCCTCTGACCCCTCCTGTGGTAGTTTTCATGGATATACCTCCTTGCCAAAAGACTCATATTGCAATATATTAATGTATCAAATCAACATATTACGTACCTTAAAGTTACACAATGTCAATTATACCTCAAAAAAAGTTACAGATACTTTTGATGCCAAAATAAATGAAAAAAAAAAATAGATGACAATAAACTCATCAACTCCTCTTCAAAAGATGGAGCCTATTTCTCACTTACATCCTGTAAAAGTAAGACTAGATTTAGTGATTCTCCTAAAGAATAGAATATAGCAGAAGTGACAATGAGTGACTAGGTCCTGAGAGGCACAACAACTTTCCTCTCTCTTGGGCCCCTCACACTAGGGGTACTTAGCTGCTAGCTTGGAAAGGCCCGGCTTCCAACAGTCTTGTCATGTAAGAGCCCCATCCTTGAGGCAAATCCTGCAGCCCATCAAACTTAAAAGATGACTTTATCCAGCCTCACCAGCATCCTAACTATAATCACCTGAAACACTCTGAGCCAGAACCACCTAATTAATTTGCTCTGTAAGGTCTGATCATCAGTTTTTGTTGTTTTAAAACAATGGGCTTTAGAGCAATTTGTAATGCAGATATAAGTGAAGAGCAGGTGTTGTCACAGGAAATACCAAAGTGGGAGGAAGCAGCAAAGACCTTTTAGAAAAGTGTTGGCAAAATCTTAGCAAGACTTGTATAAATCACTGTAGAAGACTTCAAGAAGGCCAGAGGTGAAGATATAAGGTGAAGAAAACCTTATTGGAAACTGGAGGGAAGGGAGATCCAATCCAATTAATTGCTCGG